TTATCTATATGTCATATCTCTTGCGTTATGCTTATTTGTTTTTGCTTCCGCGCTTATACTTCGAAGCAAATGAGCTTTGTTACTTGTACTCATGCTTAATTCATATCCTTTGAGTACATTGTGTTGGCTTGGGTCATATAAGCTTGCCTAACTCTTTTGTTCTTAACGACAAAAGCTTATATGAACCAAGCCCTTCAAAAACCTCACTCTTTAACATACTCAAGGTGGTATTGTCATCAATCACCAAAAAGGGGGAGATTGAAAGCATCTAGGCCCCTAAGTGGATTTCGGTGATTAATGTCAATACAAGATTACTATGACTAACGTGTGTTTTGCAGAGGCAATTAAGTTAGGTCATGGTAATGGAGATCGATTGGGCAATCGAGGTTGTCATGCCCCTACGATGGAAATCGTTTCGATTTTCAAAGGATGGACGACAAGGTTAAGGATAACTAGTTCTAAGTGTCAATTGAAGTTGGAGAGACACTTAGAGTAGTTTAGGACTTTGTTTTTCCTTTGGCCGTTCTATGAAGGGGGGTATGAACGGGTAGCTTGACCTAGTTGAGTCTACTGAGTTAGGTGTGGTGCACACTTATTAAAACTAGCTCTAGGTAGCTCCTATGAATGCCTAAAATCCTTTGGAGCTAACTTCATTCACATATGATTGAAAGTTGGAAGTGAATGAAGGGTCAAATACTGACCGGACGCTGGCTCCGGTGCGACCGGACGCTGGCCGCAGGGTCCGGTCAGTTCATTTGACTGAGGAGAACAAGTCTGGTGTGACCGGACGCTGGAAGGTCGTGTGACCGGACGCTGGGGGCCAGCGTCCGGTCGACTCCAGTAAGGGTCCAGACTTGAGAAAATATGACCGGACGCGTCCGGACAGTGGTGACCGGACCCTGGGTATCCAGCGTCCGGTCGTTTACAGTAAGCATCCAAGATCGACCGGACGTGTCCGGTCAGTGCTGACCGGACTCTGTCAGCATCCGGTCATCTCTTGGAAACTGTTGCGCGGGTTGAATTGACCGGAGCGTCTGGTCAGTATGATCGGAGCGTCCGGTCATCCCGCAGAAGCTCATAACGGTTCGTTTTTCAGGCTGGCTTATAAATAGAAGCTCCACTCGTGTGTAGAGGTACTTTTGCTCATTCCAACAGCTGAGAAACACGTTTGTGAGTGCCAAGAAGAGCAAGGTCCTAGTGAGGTGTTTGTGATTTGAGAATCCAAAAGTGAAACCTCATTAGTGAATCAAGAGTAGACAAGTGTGCATCCATCTTCTCATTAGGCTTCGTGTGGTCAAGTGAGAGTTCGTGCTTGTTACTCTTGGTGATCGCCATCACCTAGACGGCTTGGTGGTGATTGGGAGCTTGGTGATCACCCGGCGGAGCTTGTGGGTGACCCAACTCAATTTGTGAGCGGTTTTGGGTGATTCGCCGCGACGGAGTGTCGAAGAATCAACCCGTAGAGAGCACTTGATCCTTGCGCGGATCAAGGGGGAGCTACACCCTTGCGCGGGTGCTCCAACGAGGACTAGTGGGGAGTGGCGACTCTCCGATACCTCGGCAAAACATCGCCGCGTTCCTTTCTCTCTCTATTTACTTTGAGCACTTACTTTGAGTATTTACTTTGAGCAATTCAATACTTGTTTCACATCCATAGAATTGCTTGCTAGAGTAAGTTTGGAACATAGGTTGCGAGGTTGTTGTGCATTAGTTTGACATAAACACTTTTCTAGGTACAAGGGGTTAATTGGGCTATCCGTAGAATTTGATTATTGCAAGAAAATTTAGAATTAGCCCAATTCACCCCCCCTCTTTGGCATCTTGATCCTTTCAAAAACACCTAGTGGGTGTGATCACAACATTTAGGATAGATAGTCATATTATTAAGATGTGTGAAACTTATATCGAAATGCGGTTATCAAAGTGCCACTAGATGTTCTAATATATTGCATATGCATTTAGATTCTAGTGAGTCTAACACCCTTGAAAATATTTGTGAAAATATGCTAACACACGTACACAAGGTGATATTCTTGGTAGTTAGCACATTTGAGCAAGGGTGAAGTGTTTGCGCTTGATTGGAGTGAAAACAGGGGCGTCGGACCCTAGTTTTCCAGGGCGTCGGACCAGGCTGACCCTAGGTCTGACGGTCCTCCTACGTGCGCTAACAGAGACCGAGAGCGAGGTCTGACCGATTTAACCCTCTCTGGACCTTACTGGACCACGTCGGACCCTCCTTGTGTGGAGTCCAACGGCCAGGTTCGATGCTTTGGTTAGCGCGTGGCAGGCGACCATTGGCAGCAACTATTGGGTGGCTTGAGTGGCGCCTACATAAACTTGTTGGCCGGCCTTGGCTCACTCTCTCGGCCATTTTCATTGACATAGTAACCTAGTGAGCTAAGCAAAAGCCCTCTCACTCATCTTCATCATTGATTCATCATCTTTGTGAGATTAGGAGTGAATCCAAGTGCATTGCTTGAGTGATTGCATCTCGAGGCACTTGGTAATTGTGTTTCGCTATGGATTTCGCTTGTTTCTCTTGGTGGTTGCCGCCATCTAGGTGGCTTGGTGCAGCGAGGATCGTTGAGCGGAGGGTGGTGATTGTCTCTGGCTCCGATCGTGGTGATTGTGAGGAGTTCTTGACCTTTCCCTAGCGAAGAGTCAAAAGATACTCTAGTGGATTGCTCGTGGCTTGTGGATCCTCATTTTGTGTTAGTTGTGCGGCACCCGATTGCGGGTTAGGCGTGTGATGCCTATAAGTGTGTGAACCTCCAAGTGAGTGAACCGCCACAACGGGGACTAACTTACCGGCAAGCAAGTGAACCTCGGTGAAAAATTATTGTGTCATCTTGTCTCCGAGGATTTCTTTGGTATTCATTGATATATTGTGATTGATCACTTGCCACGGCGGTATAACCCTCCTACATCTCTTGTGCATTTACTTTATTAGTGTAGCTAAGCCCTTTAGTGTAAGTAGTTTTGAGAGCTAACTTGTGTCTTGTCTAGTGGTTAGTGAGGCTCTTTAGTTAGTCTTTGAGAGCTCACTAACTTAGTGGTAGTGACTTAGCCTCTTGTGTGATATAGAGATCATAGATAACTAGAATTGTGGATAAGAGGCTTGTATTTTGAGTAGGCCAGCGTAACACTCGCTTCGCCGTTTAATTGTCTAACATCTTGGCTTAAGTGTTGTTGTAGAAATTTTCAATAGGCTATTCACCCCCCTTTAGCCATTAGGACCTTTCAACCCTGCGGGGTAAATTATTAGAAGAAGCATTGCATAAGGTGGCAACTTAGAGGGTAAGTTATTATACAAATAATATGTAGGATTTAAGAATGCATTCGAACCTAAAAGAGAGACTGAAAACTAAAACTAAAAAACATTAAAAAAACTTGACTGAAAACTAAACCAAAAAAAACTTGACAGAAAACTAAAAATAAAAAAAAACTCATTAAACATAAACTAAAAGAAACAATAAAAAGAACTGAAATGAAATAAAAAATGAGAATAAAAGCTACACAAAAATTGAAAAATGAAACTCAAAGTGGGCTACAAGCCCTGCTGTAACAACCTGGGAATTTGAATGTAATGAAAAATCCAACTTTTTAAATGTTTTCTTAAAACATTGCTTGTTGTTGTGTTGCATGCAATATTAGGTCAAGCTTAAGTCAACTGTTTCCTCTTCTAACCCTGATTTCGAATGAAAACCTAATCCTTCTTACCTTATTCAAACTAAATTTACAATAACCAGTACACCATGTAGCATAGATGCATGAGTGATTTGGTTCTTGTCTTCTGTGTGTGCTGGAGGTAGTTCCTTCTCCTAAATCCTTGTGTAGAAAATAGAAAAACCTCACTCTCCCTGGGCCACAACCCTCCTCCCTTTTTTCCCCTAAGCCCAGCACGCCTCCTGGTCCTATCTGGCCCGTCGACCACCTTGGCCCAACTGGCCTCTCCTTTCCCTTTCACCAGTCGGCCCACTCAGCCTAGCCCGCGACGGCTCCCCACTACTGGCCCAGGCCACCAAGTGGCCAAGCGCGTAGCCAGTTACCCTCCCATGCCCCTCACGTGCGTAGCGCGTGCACGAAGGAGCCGCCGTAGCGCCGTCCACTCCATTCGCTGCAGCAGAAGCCACCGCCAGCTTGGGCCCCGCGTCAGCCACCCAGAGCCGCTCCCTTCTGTTTCCCTCCGTCTCACGCCCGATGCCGCTCCGTAGCTTTCCGTCGCGGTGCCGTCATCTCCTTCCTCCGTACGTGTTCTTCTGTTTTCCGTCACGAATGCCAGCCGGAAGCCACGACGCGCCGAGCTCCATGACGTGAGCACGGGACCGCCTAAAGCTGCGCCCTGCGCCACGATTCGCGGGACGCCCTCGACCCACAGCGCCCGAACCCTACCTACCCTTGACCGCGCGGACGCGCCCGCGACCAGCTCCCCGTCACAAACATTCCGAGCCGTGCCACCTGCCCGTGCTACGGATGCTCGCCACATCGCGCCGGAACGATAATTAGATGGCACGTACGCCGGCGCCGTCACCTGGAACCCTAGCCCTGGCACTATAAAACCCCCAGGCTGAGCCTGAGCCCTCGCTGTCTCCCTCCTGTCCGCCGCCACACACGCTCCCTCCCATCTCTGGCTCGCCTTCCTCCTCACCTCGCCGCAGCAGAGATGTAGCCATGGCGTGACGCCAAGCCAGCCCGCGCGGCGAGCCACCTCGCCACCGGCATCGCGCCATCTTACCCCGACGCCCTGCCTTCTCCTTGCCACGGCGTGGAGCCGCGGACGCCGCGGCCACGACCCGGCATCCGAAGCCGCCGGTGAGTCTCCACCGCAGCCCAAGCTTCCTCCTTTGGCCTTAATTCCCTGGACAGTACCCCACGCCGGCTCAAGCTTTCTCCTTGCGTGCAGGAACAACCTCAAGGGGCGCCCTTGTTCTTGGAGCAGAGAGCCGGTGCACGGGATCGACACCGCCACGTCGCGCACGACGCCAACCCTCCGCTCGGCCATGACCACCAGCTGCCTGACCGTTTTCCCAGTCCCGGCCGCAACCCCGGTGAGCTCTCACCTGCCAAAGATGTCTCCTTTTGCCTTCATCACCATTGTTCTTCACCTTGCCTGCCTTTTCATCGCCCAGCGCCTTCACCCCGAGCCGATTGACGACCCTGACCGGGACGCGGATTTTCCATTTGCACATGTGGCCGCGCGGGATATCGTGGCCGTGGAAGTGTTCCAGGCATTAAGATTCGTGCTCGGTTATGTACCAGCGGACCAAAGCATTGGAATTAGGAGGGAACGGCAGAATAGGAAATCTACATGCCATCCATCACTGAGCGCGGTAAGGGGAAAAGTTGAAGTGCCTGTGGCCGGCCATTCCTAGCTTATACGGAAGGAGAGCATGGCGACATGAGGAAGGTGGAGGTGCCAGGAACATTTGGAGCTCGCCGATTCCGATAGCAAGGGACAGTTCCCACTCGACCAAGTGCAGATTGCTGCAGAGCGAAGCAAGAATCAAGAGGTGGAGAAGATGTCCGCTGAAATCGAAGACGATGGGGACGTACTGTTCCACAAACAAGCCCCAACGCCTGCGGCTGGGAAGGCTGCCGCGGGGAAGAAGGTAGAGGGGCAGATCTGCTACGCCGACGGAGCGAAACCAGTGCTGGAGGCCACGCCGCTTTCAATGGCGGAGCAAACAGTACAGATCGGTGGAGGATGCAGGCCTACAGAGCAGTATTTCCATAGTTCAGTAAGTGTACATTATATTCCATTATGTTCAAGCAGTTGATTCATATTTTGAAAATGCCATCCTAAACACAGTTGCAGGTATTTCATCTACCTCAAGACAGCGGCAAAGAGGCTCAAGTACAACAGGCATTACCAGAAGGTATGAATTTAAGTACAATGATTGTTACTTGTACAACTGTTACTTGTACATCTATCACTATTCCAAATTCAGATCTGAAAATGCTGTACAGTACTATGAAACTAGGTCTGCCTGCAGAAATCAATGTAGAGTTCCAAGCTACATACCAAATAAAGATCTGCTCATTTGAAGTAACTGTGTACTGAAATACTCATAATAACTTGTCTGAGAAAATATGCAGGTTTATTCCAACATGTAAAGCAAAAATGTTACTGATGCAACTAACTAGTACGAAATGTCTTTACTGAAGGGATTGGACATTATGGAAGTCTGCAAGAGTTATTGCTTGGATTCACCAGTGGTGCATTATGCATAGTCACTGAGGAGGAGGAAAATGTAGTACAAAGGGGATCATCTCTGGAGCAAAGTTGTTTTGAATACGAAACAAAAGATGATGACTTTAATGCAGAACCTGAACTTGAAGCACCAGAGATGTGCTTGCAAGAGGGTTATGTAGAGAGTTAGCACGACAATGAGCATGAAGAGTCAAGTGATGTAGATGAATCTGCAGATAGTGATGGTGATAAAAGAAACAAACAAAATATCTACCCAAATGAGAAGGATTTGGAGAGTGTGGACTGGGACATATTCTGTTCTACTGGTGAACTAATGAAGAAGAACGATTCTATCATGGCTCTTTGTACCACACATTAAAACTGTTACAAATGTACATATATGCAATAAATAATTCAGTGTAGTATCACAATAAATAATTCCACGGTACTCCCTAAGCACCCATTAGAGAAATTTATGGCATTTCTATCTGCTTTCTGCTATCACACTCAATAAAGTACAAACTAATCACTGAACTATTGAGATAGCTGGGGGATTGATGCACCTTCTATTTGCCATTATGGCAGGCGATTCCTCAGATCAGCAATAGGGCAACCATCGAAGGTAAAGGAACTAGACGAAGCACAATTGCAAGGTGAGAATGAACCACCTTGTTTCGTGAGGGGATTTCAATCTTAAGGCAAGTTGAAGTGATGTTCAGTTTGCCAGAATTTTTTTATAGGTTTTGTTGAAATCCACAATTTCATAGTTTGATTTGAAAGAAATAAATCCAGTTTTGTGCAGTGTCTGCCCAAGGGAAGGGTTTGGGAATTGGGATGCTGGAATAGGCAAGCAGCTGACAAGCCAAAAATTGACGGTACAACTAAGCGCCAATCACAGTGAGTTGGCTACAAACCTCTTGAAGTTGATAACATAAAAATATCCAAGAAGAGTTAAAGAACAAATAGAACCTCTGGATTGGTTCGGAATCTACAGGTGTATGTATGCTGCTTTGCAAGTGCCTATATAATTGTCTTTGAACTCTGTTTGCTTACATGCACACCGACCACAGTCTTACTGACATAGTGGCGATAAACGAGTTATTTACAATACATGATTTTTAACAAAACAAAAGTTCTTTACAGCTGTAACCATGGTGCCTAAATGAACAAAAAATTGACATACCGGGAAGATGCAGTAAGAGAACCATCATATGGCAGCCATTGCAAACCCAGTTACCAAGTAACGAGGTGCCTTTAGGCTGGTTCATTTTTACTGGCACCTGATAGGACTTGAGCTGATTCAGAAAAAAAAATATGTAGCATCACACTTCAGAAAATCATGTAACAACACAGAACAGAAGGGGTACTGTTATGGAATCTCCAACAGTCACCAAAAGGTTCAAACAATGTTGCAGGTGATGGGTGGCCACAGAACTCTCCATACACCCTGCTATACAATCTCTTGTCCCATAGACCATCTCAACAGCATGAGTACTATTCTACACAGTACGAAGAGTACTACTCCACACAGTACGAACAGCGTGGCTAAAAGTGCAAGCCTATCAGATCACATATATTGCCCTAGCACTAGCAGTACTATTCCACAGATATTCAGAGTTGCAGACAAGTTCTAATGTAGCAGCAAGGAACATATTCTGCAGTTCATACAAATGAAAATGTGCATAGATATGGAACATAATACAAGTCACAAACGACTGTGAGCTAAACTTCAGTGCCAGCCTCTTGTGTTGCCTACTAAATCTCCAAAATCAAGTGTAAGAGATTCTTTTTACTAAAAACCAAGGGTAGAAGCGCAGAGCCGGAGTGACCTTAGTACAATGGACTAAAGATGCTCTTTGGGCCCGTTTGCCACAAATGTATGGCCCATGACCCAACCTTTATTTGGAAACCGAAGGGTCATCACCTGCATGGCTATATGTGCACCGACCCGTGCCCTGCCTTGTTCGGTTCTCCATCGATCGGCAGCTACCCATCTTCCCCATCCTGGTAACGAGCACAGTAAACCCCACTACAGAAAACCCCACCTCCGAGTGCTGGAACTTTTTCAAATGTTGCCAAGGTACTGTTTGTGAAAAAATAGGCCAGAATTACTAGTTCTTTCACATGCCTTAATCTTGCAGACATCATTAATAGCACTATAATGCTGTATTATTTTTATGATCCTGTAACTCTGGTGCATTTCTCTTGCATTTTATACTCACAGATGTTCCTCAGGCGAAGCAAAAGGATTTCAGCAAAAGTTCATGGATTCAATGACAGTGGAAGCAAAGCTGCAGGTACAGAGCCAGAGCCACTCGCAATCGTGCCAGTTTCAAGCTCCATCCCAGATGAAGAATTCAGTCCTGGAGTTGCGGATGACAATGTGCAAACCTGAAGCTGATTCTGGTTGAATGCTCCACAAACAAAGCAAGCTCTAAGACTTAAGAGTGACTCTGCAGCCCGTAGTGTGCTACTGTATCTTTTGTTTAAGTTTGCTCTAGTGTAGTATTATGTGAAACTCCTGTTTAAGTGAGTTCTAAGGTCCAGTTAGTGTAATGGAAGCCTAAACTGTTTTAATAAAGTGTTGCAATCTGCCGCAATCTGCATTGAGATGTTATTTTGGTTCAGATATGATGTTTGTGCCGTGGTTTCTGTTGTGGTTACAATAAGTCTGCTCTTAGTTTGCATCATGGACTGTTGTGTGAGTCACTACATGTCAAAATATTAGGCAGTCTCCATCACATAACAAGAGAGCATATAATAGTATACACAAGTTGACACAAGCCATAATAATAGGTTCTTCTAATTAGAAAACAATAGCATAGTACAGACAAAGACTAAGTCCCAGAAACAATAGCATAGATGTAGGTAACCTCAATTGATGAAGTTGAGGTTCTAGGGAGTTTGTAGAAATGTTTTCATACTTCTCTTCAGCTAGAGAATATGACATAACTGTTGTGACTTGTCCAGAGATAACATACTCCCAGCAACATAAGAACACACAAGCTAGGTAGACCACAGGAATAATATATAGTGGATACGACACACTTGCCATAGTTCCAGCAACATACACGCAAAAGCAGACTTGGGAAGGCTTCAGAACTTGAAATGGTGAATTTTGTCCATTAGTTTATTTGGCTTGTACCCTTGGTTGTCAACACAGGTAAACATGTGATACTCAATTTCCCCACGGGCCTCGCACAGAGTAGCCTATAGATAAAGACATGATATTCTGTTACAAGAAGTCTAAATTCACAAAAAAATTGATATGCTGACGAAACAAGATGTACCTCATGAGGCTCCTTCAGATTGAATGTAAGTTTTGCACCACAGAAGGATCTTGCATAGTAAACAGCATACAAGCCACTATTTTGTCTGCAGAAAAATTGACTGATAAATATAGTGTTCGCAGAAGACAATAGATGCACAATTTTGCAGAGGAAACAATTGTGCAAATGTAGAAAGTCTTACGGTTTGCATTTATGACCAAGATTAGTTAGATAGACATCAGCCCAGCAATCGTCTTTAACATCCCATCCACAAAAGAAATGATCTTTGCAAGCAAACAAAGCGCTGTGAAGTTTGAATACAGTATCGTGATGCTTCTGCTTGGCTTCTGCAACAGAGGACTTCATAAGGACCAAGTCCAAGACGGTGATGGTCTTGGATTTGAAATCCCAAAAGTAGCAGCTCCATGTTTCTTCATTCCCAAAAGCTGGTAGGATGATCTACACACAAATGAAGTTGATCAAAGATTGAATTTCAAAATAGAACAGAATATTATAAAAATGCAACTCATTGCTACTAACATAAGAGAATACCTTTTGGCAATCTTCCACATTATAGGTAATGTGGTCCCCTATGAAACTTGCCCTTATTGCATCCGAATTCAAATAGTCAACATTACCATGAACTATTTCCTGGATTGTAAAGTAGAGATTTAGCTAGAGTAAGTATACTATTATAAGATAACTGGAGATGTTTAAGTTAAAAAATACGTACCGCAAATGAGGCAGGAAGGAAGTGCTTCCATATCTTGTGTGTCTGTTCATACCTCTGAAAATGGTTGTACACTTTTGCATCCAGATAATTCCAAAGCACCATAATAGCGTCAACTATACTAACAGTAATAGTGCCATTTAGTTTAAGGCAATGCTGAACAACATGGCCAGGTATAGATAATGATTTTGGGGCAGTAAAAACGATCCAATCACTGCAAAGGTAAGATGGATCAGATTCACATTCATACTCATTAAACAGGGAAACAACTCTCAAAGTATCATACCAGTTCATCTCATCCCTAGGGAGACATGGATTTGTCATCCACTGATAACATAGACACTTGTTGGTCCATGACACATCTGGATGATCGAACATTAGATCAAAGGTCGACATTGGAAAGTTCGAATGGCTTGTTACAGTCTTCCTTTGGGAATAAGCTAGGTACTTGGGAATTGGAGCTAGAACATTGTTCATCAGCAACTTGTCTTGAAATGGTCATCTGGAATAAAGCTGCTTGTAGATTCCTGCTAGAGCTTGGTACGTGCTGAACTTCTCCTGTTTGCAGTCAAATGAATACATAGTAATCAGTATAAATTGCTACGTTGGCAGAGGAGAAAAATTAACATGTACATTAATACCTAAAAAAACTTGGTTGGCTGATACTTGAGGAGCAATTGGAGGTCCCAGACTGTTAGCTGTACGTAACATGGTTCTTTTGCGCAGTGGGATACCTGAAACTATATTGCATAGAAACAATCACATTCAGAGCATCAACTCAGAAAACGAAAATTTAAAACAACATTGTATCATTAAAAGTACAACCTCATCACCGCGAATAGACAGTCCCCCAAACATCCCCCAAAATTGTTACAACAACACGTATTTCTGATGTTGACGAAGAAGCTGGTAATGCTTACAAGTTGAAACCCCTTTCTTTGAACAACTCCCGAAAATTACTATATAGAAGAGTATTTGGTCATGAAAACAAAGACAACAAAGAAGATATAGAAAAATGCCCAGACGAGGAGCTAACGGAAGTATTGAATACTAAAGAAATGTGCTGGTGTGCCCTTAGCTATTATTACAATAGCTAGTAAGCTCTCTAGTAAAGCAAGAAATAAAATGGAGTGGTATGAGGTGTGCAACTCCATTGGTACCGGTCTTGAAAACAGTATAGATGTGGAGAATATGAGAAAGATCTTGTCCTTTAGCTATTATGATCTACCATCCCATTTGAGGACTTGCTTACTATATTTATGTGTGTTTCCAGAAGATTATAAAATTGAAAAAGATCGTTTGATATGGATGTGGATAGCTGAAGGCTTTATCCAATGTGACAAACAAGGAAGGTGCTTATTTGAACTTGGAGAGAGTTACTTTGATGATCTTATACAAAGAAGTATGATCCAACCCATATATGATGTGTATGCTGATATGATATATGAATGTTGGGTACATGATATGGTGCTCGATCTTATTTGTCACTTGTCCAGTGAAGAAAACTTTGTAACTATATTAAATCATATGGATCATGGATCTCCATCACATTTAATTCTGAGGTTGCCCATTCAAGATGCAAATGAAGAACATGCTGTGACTTCGGCCACTAGGACCTTGCAACAGGTAAGGTCAGTTGTTGTCTTTCCATCTGCGACTAGTCTAGTACATGGTTTCCAATATCGGCCGAAATCTCCTGATATTTCCGATATATCCTCTTTATCCGTAGGTGCCGATAAGGAAATATATATCTTTTTCGTGCAAATTTTGTTTAAATTTATTTAAATTTACTTAAATTCAAATTAAATTTTATTTGAATTTGGTCCGATATTTCCGATATATCATGTTTATCCTCTTTATCTGTGACCCCCGATAAATTTTAATTTCCGAAAATGAAAACCTTGGTCTAGTACCGGTCCTTAGTAGCTTCCGAGTTTTTCGTGTACTGGATTTACAAGATTATGATCTTTCACAAGGTTATGACCTCAAGCACCTAGGGAATTTACTTCACTTGAGGTATCTAGGACTAAGAGGAACAAACATTCACCATGTTCCTGAAGAAATTGAAAAGCTACGATTTCTACAAACATTGGATGTGAGGAACAACCCAATCTGTGACCTGCCATCGACAGTTGTTCAGCTCAGACATTTGATGCGCCTGTTCTTCGACGGGTTTGCGAGAGTGCCGAAGGGGATTGGAAACCTAGCAAGCCTTCAACATCTGTTCTATCTATTGATTGAAGATGCCACTGTTTACATTTTAGAAGACTTGGACCAGCTAACAGAACTGAGGCTGCTCCATGTTATTTTCTTCAGTGAATGGAGTGACAAGCTAGTGAGCTGCCTACACAAGCTGCAAAAGATACAACATCTATGCATCGATGTCTGCATTGCTCAATGGAGCATCGGTGGATTGGATGCCTGGGTCGCCCCTCGACATCTCCGTAGTTTGGATACCAAAAAGAGCTGCTGGTTCTCAGCACTACTAGCTTGGATGAAACCGTCGCTTCTCCTGGACCTCTCCTCTGTATCCATCGCTGTGAGGGAGCTACCCAATGCCGATCTTGATATTCTTGGTAGGTTTCCAGCTCTCCGCCATCTAGATGTTCTGGTGGACCATGAGGATCTTGGAATCTTTAGGGGATTTGTCGTTGGGTCTGGTTCATTCCCATGCTTGGTATACTTCGAGTTCGAAGGATTTGTGAGGCCTGTGGTGTTTCAGCAAGGAGCTATGCCGAGGCTCAGAACCTTTCGCACCCAGTTCTCTGTGCTAGAGGCAAGAAAAAACATGAGCAGCGATGGTGATGTCGACTTGGGCCTGGGAAATCTGCCATCGCTCCAGGAGATCATGCTTTGGTTGGATTGTAAAGGCGCTAGAGAGGAGGAGGTGAAGGGATTGAAGGCTTTGCTGTGGCATGCCACTAAAACCCATCCCAATCATCCCAGCCTTCAAATAAATGGCCACGCTGAAAATGAAGGTGCTGCTTGCTCAAATTGTCCCTTATTACTATTTCTTTACTTTTCCCCTTTCTTTTGACATTAATTTCTTCTGCTTGTCTCAATTTCAGATGACGAATAATGGACTAGAGAAAAGATATCTAGCTATACAGATGAAAATTTTGCTGGCTAAAGCTGTTCTCTCTCTCTCTCTCTCCACTGCTTGTCCAAACGCCTTATTTTCCCCTGTTTCCCCAAACAAGGAATCCTCTGTTTCAGTCACAGAGTTGGGCCTCAGTCCCTCACAAACCTACAAACGGCGACCTAGAGGTCAGGAATGAATAAAATACCAGGGTATTCCAGTGACAGAGTTGAGCCTATATTTTGCAAACCTCGTATTGCAAATTGCAATAGCACAGCTGAATTTCCAAGTTTGTTGCGACCGGAACTTGTTGGTGGCAATTTGCAGAAGCTGTGCACAAGATATGTAAACGTTTGTAGGGTGCGTTAACGTTCCTGTAATGTTGTGCACAACTGGTTTGGATACTTGGGGCTCTCAAAGAGCAAATTCATTTGCTGAGTTTTTAGTACACTGAATTGATTCCACAGTATGGTCGCATGGATCTTGAGGAGTCTATCCTGTTTGGCGAACAAGAACAAAATAGTCATTTTTCCATCCTGTGGCTATGGTCATCATACATAGATGCCGGTATGCATGGTCGCTAGCCTGGCCTTCTTCTTTTTTAAGAAACAAGATTACAGGCAAAGGCAAATGAGTTTAACGGGTATTAGTGGCCGCATGCTCTGTTTCTTTCATTTGCTCTGTTCTACGCGTCGAAGCTAGAAGTTCGGTCCCACGAATAGCATCTCTGCTGTTGTGGATGGACATTTTGACACCCGGCTGCCTCCACCGCGTGAGTCACTCTCACACATTTATTATTGGCATCTGGCCGGTCCCAAGAGACCATAACATTTGATAATTCATTTTAGGTATTGTCCTGCAAAGAACATCTTATCAGTAGCCTTGGTAATGGGCACAACACATCCCTATCTTAATCAAATCAAATTAATTATTTTTCTAGACTTCCCCACCTCACAACTTGGTTGTGGGTTCGAAGCAGTCTCTCCGCAGATTTTGCGGGGAGAAGGCTTGTCTCGATTTTTTCCTTCCACAGACCCCACTCATATGAGAGCCTCTGGCACTGCGTCTTCCCTTTTATCCGGCTAAAAAGAACCTTTCTTTAACCCACTTTCTAAATCATCATTTGAATAATCATTTAAATCGATCTCTATATATTTCTACCCACCAGCAACTTTTCTATATCTTGTGTGCAATCTAGATAGTCAGCCCCTCTCTCCATCTTCAGAGAGCGAAAAATTTGAAATCGAGGATATTATTATTTATAGGTCTCATTAAAAAAAATTGTTGGAAGGTATTTTTCACTAAAATATCTATTTCTATCAATTAGGAAGGATACAAATAGGCTCATGGATTTGCTCTAATACCTCATTTTAATTTGAGATATACATAATAAGAATTTTCCATGTAAGTTTTGATAAATTATCCACCACTGTCCTTACTTAAAAACATTTTTCCTAAAATGGCCTTGTATCTATTTATGTATTTCCCGTCTATGTTCTAGTAATGGTAATGAAAATAACTATGTTAGTTGCACTTATAACTTAAAATAAAGATGTCATAAAAAATTCCACAACGATTTTAATTTAAAAGGAAGTTTAGAGGTTACTTTAGATTTTCTTTCACAAGGATAGAGATTGGAAGTTTAGACGTACGTAGATTTAGTGGGATTATTTATGCTTCCCATAATAGTAGAAGTGGGTAATATTTTTAGAAAGCAGAATAGATCTGATTATCATTATTTTCTATAATAAAAAGAGACGATGACTTAATGTTAATGTTTCTAATTATTTTAATAATTTAATTGATAGGTTGCATCTATTTTTTTCTAACGCATTTTCTTAGGATTAATGTGGAGGCTTTGTTATGTTTTGTCATTGTTTTGCATTGCACTTTTGTGGGTACTTAATATGTATTTGTTTCATAAGTTTAAGTCATCATCTCTTGTAACATCCTTTTTATGATATCATGAGACTATCTTGGCTTTTGACTTTGGATATTATTACTTGTTCCAATTCGTGTATCCACATGTCAAGTTCAAACTATAGTATTGTATCAATTTGTTTGAATTTTTTCTGTATTTTGCTACAAAATAGATTTCTGTCCTTACTGCAGTTTTATTTACTACAATGGCATAAATAATTATTTCTACCAGCTGAATGGCACTCAGGGTGTTGAATTTGTTTGCTAAATCGAAGTATTAATTGTGTAGTAGTGTTATTTTGGAAAAAAACATAGATTGTTTAAATTAAATCTTAGTATTGACAGTTAAAGTGTATGGACTTATATTTCATAATGTGGCAGCGGTGGGTATCTTTTATGTAAATTTATTGGGTTAATTTTAAATTATCTTTCGTAATGGCACATGTGTAATTTTGATGCAATTTAGGGTTACTTTATGCCTTTTTAATAAAAGATTTGGGTAGTTTTATATAAAAATAGAGTAGATCCAATGACTATTATTGGTGATTGTGATTACAGCATACCATAATGAACTCTAGACGTTTCTGATTATTATGGCCGGTTTCCATGAGTCCAGGGCAGAAAACTTTTCAAAAATAATTATTTCATTGGGACTTCAAATGAGACGATCTATATATGGCTTTCAGTGCAATCCATTCTTCCATTTGAGAAAGTTGAAATATCAATAAATCTGGCTTGGCCAGTTTTGGGAACCGGGCAGGCTGGTTTCGGCTGTGTCAGCCCTGAAACATTGGTTTCTTCGTCAGGGCTTTAAATGAGATGATTCAAATATGGTTTCTGACTGTCTCGACGATACAAACATGCTGGCGCAGTCTTCATGCAATTTGGACAATTTTGGGTGTCAACAAATCCCCCTGTTTTTTTTAGTAAAGCTTGCGTACTAAAAAAACATCTTCAAAGCCAAAATTGACTCATTGTTGTAGTCTTCTTCAAATTATCAGCCACGCCTTCTATTTGCTGCTTTGAACTTATCCAGAGTAATGTCATTAGCTTCGTCCATCAAATCTGTGTACAGGCATAAAGTTGGGGGAAGCGCACTCAGCAGGCAGCCCCGCCTGCACTTGACCCTCGTCTTAATCCCCGCGTCTCGCCTCCCCCTTCTAAGGCATCTGCGCGAGAGGGTTCCTCCCGGCCACTTTCTCCCCTCCAGAATCATGCAGGTATGAGGACCGCAGGGATGGACGCTGATGGCTGATTGGCGAAGGGCGAGCGAGGGTCCGGAGCGACTCCGGGAAGCTTCGCACTAGGGCGCAAGAGGCGTGGTCGCGACGGCGGCGGCGGAGGCGGCGTGTAACATCCTAGATGTTAACAAGTAATTAAAATTTTGATAATGTTCATCAATAAGCATAATCATCAAGCATCATGGCATAAATGCATCTCATGTTTCATTTATACCATGTGTATGTTGCATATGTGTTGTGATGTGATTTCATGAAATGTTATAAAAAACATCAATTAAGGTGTTTTGTGATTTTATGGAATGAAAATTTCTTAAACAAGTAAAATATTGCTAATACAAACTTTCAAGTACAAAGTTTGTGCTTTCACATAGTATCAAAGTTGGGTTATGAAATTAAGTTAATTAGGTTCAAACTTGGATTCTAAATTTGAATTCAGCACTGTTTTTAGCACCTAGCCATTTTTTACTAACACTTTGAAAATGGTAAATAAGTTCAATGTTTGGGGTTTTATATAAACAATTTTCATAAATAAACTTGGTGCAACTTTGATCCTATGAATTGGTATGAAGATTAAACTTTGAAACTGTGCTATTGTTTGAAGTGTTTGATCTGTTCCTAATCAATAATTATTTACCTAAAGAAGCTTAGTTGAAACTGTTTTCTAAGCACTGAAACTGAATTTTGTTTTCAGTTTAGGTTACATGATTTTGAAAATCTAGATCTCTCAAACTAGTGAGAGTTTGATGTGGATCCTTTAAGAGAAGTTGGAGATCTCTTTAATATAAACAATTCTTAGTAATGAAGTTTTTCTAGTTCCTATTTGGAATCCGGAGAAAAAGGAGGGAGAAGAAGCCCTGTTAGACGGCTACAATAACCTGCTACAGCGTGCTCGCCCTGCTCACCGGCGTCCGTCATGTCCTTTGTGGCGCTTCGCGCGCTTGGACTCACGAACATCCATGTGGACAAGCTCGTGATGGCTCTGGCGAAGTTGGAGACGTCGTCCTCTGCTATAAAACGCCCATGCCGGTCTCCGTCTCTCTCTTTTCCTCTCTCGGCTCCGATGTCGACCGTTTCCATCACCGGCAAAATTCATCGCTCTCGCTTCGTTCCAGTCCAATTCCTATCGCCCACAGTGTCGCCTTGTCCTTGCACTTCTGCGGAGCCCGCTCGAGCCATCCAATTTCGTCGAAGTCAGCCGCACGCCGTCGTCTTCCTCGCAGCCGTCCGTCAGCGCCGCCAAAGCGTCCTCACTGTGGCCAGCCCTCTATGGCGCATCTCTCCCTTTTCCATAGTATGTTCTAGCTTCCCCTTGATGCCATGGTCGTCATCGGCTTAACCATTTTAATTGTATATCTCCAGACGCGCCGGGACGCCGCTATGTCCACCGGTTCGCGCCGCCATTTCTGCCCCCGATGCCAACAAGGTTCTCTGCTCCGTCTTCGCTTCGACCGCCAAGCCGATTGTGTTGGGGTGAGACTCATCGAGCTATCCCAAACCCTATCTAGGCCGATTAGGGGTCGTAGCAGCCGGACCGCTGCCACGCAGCCGCGCTATGCACCGCCGTGACCGCCATGGCCGGTGTTGAGCTCGCACAAAACCCTAGCTCGTTCAACCGGTACCCTAGGTAGCTGCGCGTTGTCATGGGGAGCACGTTGATGCCTTTCCCGTCGCTGGAGACCTCGCCTTCAGCGAGATAGCCGCCGTACCCACCGGCTCACGCGCGGTCAATGTCGGGAGGGGTCGGTGTTGACCCGGTCCCGTGTGTTAGTGAGAGAGAGTAGAGAGGAGGAGAGTGAAAAAAGGTTTTCAACCTTTAATCTTTTTCAGGAAATGAATAAA